GAGGAAATATTTAGCCAATGATGAATGCAAACGCAAACGCATTCATTCGATTGAAAAGAAATCCCTAACCCTTCAGTGTGCCTGGCGACGATTTTACCACCTGCTGTACCGGACGCGTAACTGCTTCCTATAAACATGGCGTTTTCATGCTGCTGTTCTCCACTGTCATGCCATCAAAAATAAACATCAAAGATCACTGCTAAATAAAGTCAAGAATCTGGGATATTCAAAATGTTCGATTTTCGATCTTTACTTGCATTATTCGGAGAAACGTTTCACCCAAATTTATACAGCGTATTGAGACGCCATCTTCGTGTCCCTTGTAGGGACACCAATAACCGGGTGGTCATAAAGTAACAGAAACATCTGTCACTGAGTTTTGCTGTTGCGTTAAAATGAACATTTGTTACTCCAGAGCTCCGGCGCATTGAAACTGATACTTCCTCTGATATAAAGACTGTTCAGTTAGCAATGGTTTGAAATAACATTCATCTTGCTGTTGACCTGTGCGACAGCCTTCTCGAGCCGCCATTTTATTATCGTGCAAAGCAAGAGGATCGAAATTCAAACGTCCCATACTACAAAACGAAGATCACTTGCAAGCTACAAATTTGTAAAGCGCCAAGTTGTTACGTACAGGGTCTTACGTCTGATGAAATTAAACCTCCGAAGGACAAGTAATTGTTTGTTTTGGAATATGACAACGTCTCCGGAAATACAATCAAAACTTTCTCGAAAAACTTGTCCCTGCGTGCAATTATTTAACTCAGTTCAAGCGGGCTATTTAGCTTTCTCCATGTGGGTAGAATCTGCAGTACTGAAAATGAAGCCCAATAATCAATTTACCCATAAGTTTTAGCGACGTACTCAGTCGTATACGTGAGAGCCCACAAAAACGTTCTAAGACTTTCAACTTAGCAGACACATTGTTGTTAGTACATACGGGGGAAATATGGAAAAATGTGGCTTCCCGCCCACATCCTTATTGGTTGTTTTAGGTTACCAATATAGCCAATTAAAATATATTTCTCTCCCCCCCTCCCCCACTTCGCCTCACCCCCACCTTGCCATTTTTTCATACCCGCACCGAGCCCCCAACCCCTACCTACGGTAATAAAACACCCTAAATATTTTAACTATTATGTCTGTCGATTATGCGTGGATTATCCTTCCAGCTAGTATATGTCTGTTATTATATGGCTGTGTCTCACAAGGACTGGGAACTACCGAATTCACGAATTTGATTGGCTGAAATCGATAATGGTGCGGTGTAGATATTCCTATCTAGACCGGTAATGTTTTGCTGTGAAAAAGTTGCAAATTAAAATGCAAAATTCTTGAGTATTTTCTTCTACTTATACTTATTTAAAGAGGTGCCAAAAAGCGTGATGAGAAACAAAAGGAAAGAGGACGAGCAAGCTTTGGCAGAATTAAATTCAGCTCATCGCTGTTCGCGAGCAAAAAAAAAATGTCGGTTAGTGCAAACCAGTTACATTAAACGAATTAGATTGTTTTTTTTTTTTTTACCAAAAAATAAACATCTTATTAACCGAACTTAGTCAGTCTTTATGGGAGAATCTTGGAAGAATCTCTTGTGTGCAGACGTCACTGCGTTCGGTCTGTACTCACGACCTCGGTCAAGGTTCTCCCATACAGACCTCCTGCTCGGTTAATGAAAGCTAAATACAGGACTTTGCTATATGTCTAGCTCGTTTTGGGCGGTATTTTCGTATTTGAATTTGTTTCTACTGAATCAAGCTTACGTAGTTACCAAGAAAAACTGATTCAATAATAATAATGATGATGATAATAATAATAATAATAATAATAATAATAATAATTATAATAATAATGATAATAACAATAATAAAGATAAACAATAAAAACAACAACAACAGCAAAATAGCACGTTTCATGTCTTAAAATACCTCCAAAATAAAGACTTTCTATTTGAATCTGTAATTTGTTCAAGCTCTTCTCTGGTCATCATGGGGCGAGTGGACAAGCTGCAAGACCTCTTCTGACGGTGTCAATGAACAAACTCGCGATCGTAGGTGTATTAGCTCTAGCAATAGCAAGTGTAGTGGGAAAAGGATGGAGACCAGGCGTTATGATGGGAATGATTGCTACGGTGAGAAGAGAGGGAGAGGCGACACACGACTCTTTTTTCTTGTTTTTCTAACACGGTCTGAACAGTGCAATTCTTATAATCACCATTAGAACTGACCATCTTGGTAGACTGTTCACAGCCCTCCATTTTCTCGCATTTTTATTCGATCGTTGAACGCTTGGGTAGCAACGCGAGAGAACTGGACGCCAGCGCAGAACGAGAGAAGGGTAGGGGGTCGCGCTCGCTTTTCCTTCGCGTGCGCTGAAAATTAGAAAAGCTGTGAACAGTCCACGTACCATCTTGGCCAAATGTTTCTGATCCATAAATGAGTTTTGTATTCAAGGACAGACTTGTAGAAGTGGCCAACCACCAAAATCTACAAATTATCCCGGGTAAAAACGAATACCGCCTAGGTGTGTCTTAGGCCCAACGGTTGGGTCTAAAAATATATTTCTCAGGTTTTATTTTTATGTTTATTTTTATTTTGCCGAAGGTTCAAAGACTTTATAAAGCAAAACATGTTGTTGGAATTTCCAGCTACTCATGTCAATGGGGTAGATCATTTTTCCACCTAAGGCCCTCATTTGGACTACATGTTTTACATTTTAAATAAGCTATCAAATTAGACCAGGACGAATTGACTTGCTAAGAAGTCCTCCACTTTTCGATTCGTTCTTAATTATATTGTGCTATAACAATGATTATAAAACTGATTCAAAGATTTATTTCAACAATCTATGAATTATTGTTTACGTAGTCTCACTTTGTTAAGGTTTGTTTTTTAGCAAATGTAAATTGCTGAGGTGAACACATCCAAAAACCCTCGATCCCAACATAATTGACAACTTTTGCTTTAACATTACTCATAAGATTTATCTTGTCACTGAATAACTGACAGATAATATGTTAGGAGAATTAGAGGCTGTTTTCAGTGCTAATTAATAAAAATTGTTCTGTTCATTTGCTGAAGTTCCTTATTCTCCATCTTTATTCTTAGACCCTAGAGAGCCCTCCACGGATGCGACCATGGGGGGCTGAAGGCAACTAAGGACGATACGAATTGGGGCAGATTCACTACTTTTACAAGCTATCACACCGCCCTGTAGGAAATTAAAGTTTATTACTGACCAGACAGTAGTTTGATTGACCTCTCTTGCCAATACACCAAATCAATAATAATAATAATAATAATAATAATAATAATAATAATAATAATAATAAAAATTCAAGCAAAATTAGCTGAATTTTTGTTGTCATAGTCCCAGAAAAGTTTCGTTGTAATATTAGGCTCTTGCTATAACGGATAATTATACCGCTGATTACTACATTGTTTTATCATGTTTGCCTTTTATTAAGCTTTTAAAAGTAAACAAATTGCAGTTCCATATAATAGTAGTGGCTCCACATATTATAAAATTAAAAAAAAGTTTCAGTTCCATAGAATGCTATCCACTTCAAAGCATTTCAAAAGGATAAAAGCAACGGGGAGACAATGGCCGTGATCGCACTAGAGACGTTTCTAGTTATAAATTATCTGTCTTGATTTGAACTCGTGATGCATGGAGATACACTCCCGATTTTTTTTTTTTTTTTTTTTTNGAACATTTGAACAGTTTTGATTCTTTTTACCTTTAAAAATATCGGACTGAAAAGAATGTTATAAAATGCCCATCATAAAAATAAACTGCTACTGCAGAGACGTAAAAGCCGTCCAGAAATGAAAGCTTCTTTTTTTTTTTTTTTTTTTTTCAATAGACAGAGAGACCTTGTTTTCACAGCTCAAGCGCGATTGTAATTCCATGACAATGGCGGACATGACGCACTTTCTTTTGCAAAACCGTTTCATTTAGATTTTCTTTGCCGTCTACTGAACCTTACCTAAACTTCGCCTTTTCAATTCTTCCTCCTTTTTCAATCCGTTATCTTTCTCCCCTTTTGCGTTTAAACAGGTTGTATACACGCATCCATGAACACTGCTATTACTCAGAAATGCGAAACAAGACTTGAAGTATATCATTCCTTTCAGGGTCTTATTTGCGACTGAGCAACCTCTCATCAGTTGCAAAAGAAGTTGGGAACCAATATATTTCTTCCTCCGAGAGCTCTGGGCACAAGCTGATTGCTCAGAACTGATTAATGCGTTAATCACCACCACTGTTACGTCATCGCATAATTAAGGTGGCCGAACACAGTTTTTAAGTGCCTAATTCACCATGACTTTTAAACTGTTTATGCTTTGGCACCCGTTTTTTGCAATAGTCAAGGTTAATCACAGAAGGGTTTATTCTCGCTTTTTGGCTAAGGTGTGTGCTGTTGCCATGCCATGACAACGGGGCTGGTTTAAAACAAGGCTTAAAAATAGTTTTTGTTTATTTTTAAAAAAAACAGTCGTTAGATTTTTTTCATCATTTGCCCATTACGAATTGACATTAAATCCCTTCTGTCAACCTGTTCTAATAAATTTTTGACATAGACGATTTTCGTGATTCGCCGTAAATCGTTTTCACTGCATGTTCTGTATCATTAAAAGTTCTCTATGTCAAAATTCAGATTTTTTGTAATAGATCATTCACGTGGTTTCTGAACTACTTTCTTGCCAAATTTCTTGAAATTCTAACGACTGGATCGTTAGAAATCGGCAAGTTTCTGCGAAAGCAATCGGTCTCAATTTTTCGAGCAACTGCGCATGCGCTGCATTTAACTGGGTTCTTTCGGTAACAAAGAAAAAGCTGAGAATTGCTGAGTTCTTTGCATCGTTGCCTTTTCGAATATATATCTGTAATAAAAGACCAAAGCCATCAATACACTCCATTCAAATATAGAAAAAAATAGCACAGATAGTGCGGGTGTTGAGTAAATAAAATGATCGCTCTATTGACGGCATGTTTGTTTTCGCAATCCTTGTGCGCGCGCGAAAACTGTGTTCGGCCATCTTAAGTTTAGGCAAACCACCTTTGAACCGAGCGTGTCGACACATTGGCTGTCGTAAGGCAAAAATGAAAAGGATATTGTTTGGCTGTATAGGTGTCGGCTTCGCTATTTTTTACTTTTTTTCCCAGTTAAATTTTAACAAACTATATACCCAATAAGCGTAACCAAGGTTGTAGACTGTTGGGGCTACCGTCCACACTAATCCGCCGCAATAATACTCGTATAATACTCTAGAACACAAATTTCCCCGGACAACTATCAGTTCTAAGGCCCTCAACAGACACACTCTATTGTTAAAAAGAGATGCCTCCAGTTTGCCGTCTAACATAATCGAAGAATGTAAACAATACTTCACGTTTTGTATGTTGGAGGGAAATGCATTCCAGGAAAACATGGCTGTACGAAAAGATGAATTCTTGTGTCAACAGAGGGGTGTGTCAGCAGATTTATTATCCTTAGAGCACACGGTTTAACTGTAACTGACCCGATATGCACACAGGTCGGCGATGTGACAAGATTGAACATCCAAGAACCTGCAAAGATTTAGCTAAAGAAGGCGCTTTAAAATCTGGAAAGTACCTCATCTTTGATTCTGTGAACCAAGCGCTTCCTGTTTTCTGCGACATGGAATCAGAATCGGGATTTGTTTGCACATTAATATAATCATTTTTCTTGGCTGATAACAATCTTTTCAAAAAGGAACCGTTTGGCGCTGATTTTTCTGTGAATCACGCAGACAATGATGTGAGCTGGAGCTCCTACCGGCTGTCCTTACCACAGATGCGGTCCACTGCCAATCAATCCACACACTTTCGAGCAATCTCTAACTTTCCAACAGAGGTTCTGCAGTATACCGACTACGCACGCGCCAAGCTGAAAGGTTTGGACATATTAGGCACCCGGGATTCACGTGCCGGATGTAAAAATACATAAACATCTGGGTAAATGAGTGCTCTAACTGCTCTAAGGCCGATAAAAAGCTGCTTGAAAATGCTATGTGATATCCAGAGTCTATTTAGTTGCAGTGAATTTAAGTTGCAGTGAATTTATTCTAGAGCCACTTTTCTGTGCCGTTGTAAGATAGTTATGTTGTTGTATTAATAAAGGTCATACTGCGTGGTTTGGCTTGGCCTAGCTCCCAGCTGTGTGTGAGAATGTATATGTATCAGTGAGTTGGTTGATTCCAAATAATAAGCAAAAATTAAAAGCCATCGACCATAAAACTGCACCATAAATATGAAAAGGGAAATAAGCCTTCTATAAGAAGCTTTTGCTGCCCCGAATTTAAAGGAATTGGTTAAGTTCGGTTATTAATTCAAGTCTGCTTGTACGCCAGAAAAATTAAAACAAAACTTTTAAAGTCGTCACTCGTTTTTCCATCTATTAAGTTGTTATCCTGGGTTCTGTATTTATGCCAGCTTCTTTAGATTCATCCTAGAGCACAATCCCTCTTTTGCCTGGACGGTATAAACCCATTTCAAGGGCTTCAATATTCACCTTTACATCTTTACGATTTTGGAAATCTTCAGCACAGGGAGAACTGTTGTTAAAAGCAATCTTGTTCACATTAGCAGGACCAATATCCTGGTCCATCTCTAGACCTTGTTTACAAATTGAGAATGGAGCTGTTTCATTCTTGTAAGAATCCCTCCCCCTTTTTCCCTCTCCTAAGCTATTACTATCACTTCCATTCTTTAAAACCTCATCGCTTTCTTTGTCAAACAGTTCATCATCTGCAGATTTCCCATTTAAACTGCTGAAGGAAGGCACATTATAATAATAACTGGATTCATCTAAAACGCTGAAATCCAAATACGGATTGTCCTTCTGCATCATCTCCTCCAGTCTCTCTCGTATTTGGGTGAAGTTTGGTCTGTCGTCTGGGTTTTCAATCCAGCAATCCGTCATCATACTAAACCTAATACAACGTCAATGTGTGCTTATCAGTCATTTAGCAAAAACTTTACGTAGCACTGAGTAATTATTTAGAGTCCGTGTTTGCATTATTTCGTCAATCGGGTAAATTAATGCTTTCTTTCTAAAGGTTCTTGGAATAACTTTCATGTCCCAAATCCTATTTTCAACACCCACCCCTCCCCCATTCCCATCCCCCCCCCCAAAAAAAAA